AAAAGGGAGTTTTTCCTCCCCACTGTCGCTACAAGCATGCTTAGTGTGAGGGATTGCTGAAGAGTCAATAAGTCAATGCAATTTCCTGGTTTTCCTGAGATAGAAAACTGGACCAATCTGACTGTATGATCTGTCTCTGTAAAGTGCCCTGAGATGACGTGTTGTGAATTGGTGCTATATAAGTAAACTCAGCTGAACTGAATTGAATGCACAGAAATCAGACAACCACATCATGAACCATGGAAACTGCTATTATAAATAAAACTATCAATTAAGCTATAAAGAGAAAAAAAATCTGACAGTTAATCAGTTTTATATTAGCAGTGGGTTGTATAAAAAGAACAGATAGATGTAGTTATCCCAGAATTCACACTCATCACTGCATATTTCCCATTATTGTCCATTCCTGCTGCTGCTGGAAACAGACTATTATGGGTATGCCCGGCCTCTACATACATTTGATATGTGACAGGTTCCAGTTTGCAGACAAACATCTAATAGGAGTGAATTAGGACGTAGGCTTGTCTGTAACTGAGGGGCTGAATGAAGAAAGAAAAGTCAACGTACTGATGTGGAGATGGAAACAGACTGCAGCTCAGAAAGACACTGACTTTCACACACAACAAAAAGTTAACGGAAAATAAACAGACTTAATAAAATACGTGCATTTGTACTTGATTTTAGTAGGTTGGTTAATTTAAAGTTAGTAAAACCGAATAAGATGGGTTGGCCTAAAATAATGAACAGTAATCTCTATCATCTTATTTTGGCAGATTCTTTTACTTTACTGCTAAAATGAAGGGAAAAGACACCAAATGAAATATATTTTTGACTTAGATTAAACCCATTTTCTCTTTGCAGGAACAGACAAACAAACTGATGGTTAAACAACTTTACAATGGATCGAAGCGTTGACCCAATTAGGTCCAACTTCCAACCAAACCCAAGGGATGAGCTCGGAGCGGAGGGAGCGTTTCCATGGAGATGGCAGGAAACCCGTCCAGCAGTGGAAGACCTCTGAGTAAGCGTGTAAACATGGAGTCGGTTCGATAAACAAGAGTCTGAAGTCCAGCAACCGTTAGAGACCGCAGCACCAAGCGGGTCCACAGTCCTCATCCAGAACCTGCTCACTTCCCAGAACCGCCTCTGGGGAACAGCGGAGACCCCCAGAATGACATCATCAAAACAAACACACAAAACAAACAGGGTTCCAAATAACAGTAAAATTCATTTTAATAAAACAAAGTAATAAAAACATTGATAAATGATGATGTGGAAGATAGAACTGATGGAAAACAACTTTCAGTAAATATATATTCAGGAAAACCCTTCAGGAAAAAGTCTAACTGGGCTCCAGAACGTTGGGAAAACTGAATATTAACAAAATAAATGGGTTATGTAGTTAAGATTTGAAATCAGGGGTGAGTCAGAGAGCTTGGGAGGTGAAACTGGGTTCCCTGAGAGTCGATACTGGTCTGTGTGTTCAGCCTTTCCCAGAGTTCATTGACCTCAGACACCAGCAGACCTCAGATCAGCTCAGAGGCGCTTCATATTCGCCCACAAACGCCTCAAAGAACCAAGACCATCAACCGACCTCAGAGTCTGAGCAGAAGGTAAGAAATAATCCAACATATTAGCATAAAACCAGGATGTGAGGAGATCAGGAGGAAGCAGGAGCCATGAGGCCCTCACATGTTTAACTTCAAATCTGGAGGGAAAAGCAGAGCTTCTTATTACAACACAGGATATCAGTTAACAGATCTAAACCCTAAATGTTCCTGATTTTGGGATTATTCCAGAAAAGTTCCCATTTCAGTGGAAATTATCTGAAGAAGATATGAAAGGTCACATTTGACAAGATATTCATGAACCTGGTTTCTTTCTTCTTGTAATGATCGTAAACTTTTCTAGAACAGATTACAGGTTTCCACTCCGGATCCATCTCATGCTAGTAAAAACTAAAGGAAGAGAAAAACATCTGCTTGCATTTATCCACCAGGCTCAGGGAATCTGCCACATTCTGCTGGAAATGATCAGAGTTTTGGAGATGACTCTGAACAAATTTAAACCATTCATTTTAAGTTCAATATATTTTAGAGCAGAAAGGAGACCCTGAGGCAAAGTGCAGAAAACAACAGCAGCACATTAGAAGCTGGCTTGGTTCTCCTGTTTCCAGGTGTGTGTCTCTGTGTGGACGTCAGTCAGCATGGCGGTGTGCCTCCAGGTTCTGGGTCTGTTCCTGGGTGTGGTGTCCTGGTGTCTGCAGTCCAGCTGTACGTCCTCTCAGACGTGGAAGGTGAGGAGTCAGGCGGAGACGGTCACCACCAGCTCCTGGCAGTTTGAGGGCTTATGGATGAGCTGTGCCGCCACGGCGATGGGGTCCGTTCAGTGCAGCAGGTTCAAGACGGTCCTGGGCCTCCCTGGTAAGAAAACACTTTGGATAGAAAGGTCTGTAATAATCAAAAGTAATGAGTTTTCATAACCTAAACTCCTCCAGACATACTGGAAATTTCTTTTTCCCTCAAAGCTGCAAAATAGATGGTAAGAATTGAAAAATATTCTTGCTCCTGTTTTGTGTTTTTTTTTTTATTTTATTGAATTGAGTTCCTCAGTTCCTAGTTTAAAAAGGAGCCCTGCATATTTGAAGCCTTTAACTAATGAATAAAAGTTTTTTTTTCTTTTCTAATTTCCATCTTAACAACGCAGATCAGATGGAAAGGATCGTATTTGAAACTTGATATAAACCAAACAAAAACAAAACAGTGAAGGTTGCAGCAAAACAAAGAACAGCTTTATTAACACATCATTTGATAATGAAAATATTAGTTTCCCAAACACTAATCAGAAAAAAGCTAACTGTTAACTACTACCAGAGGTTTTTTATATATGTAAGCAAAAGATAAAAAAAAATATAAAAGGCCATGAATAAACAATATGTATTTAATAGTTAATAACTTTAATAAATAAATTATGCTTTATTTAGCATAACAAAAAATATAAAGTTGTTTCATATTTACCAAAACAATATTGATATTTTGATATTTATTAATGGAAATATCACCACTAAGTATATTGAATATTTGGCACTTTTAGCTTTCCGTACATGTCACTGCTGCAATTGATTATTATAAACTTGATATAAACCAAACAAAAACAAAACAGTGATGGTTGCAGCAAAACAAAGAACAGCTTTATTAACACATCGTTTGATAATGAAAATATTAGTTTCCCAAACACAAATCAGAAAAAAA